GAGAGCGCTCGGGGCCGGGGGGCCGGGCGGGTTTGTGGCACCCCCCCGGTGGCGGGGCCGCTGCTGGGAGCCCCCGCGGCCGCCAGCTCTGCCCCGCTGCGGGACCCGAGCGGCGCCTCGTCCCGCCTGGCTGCACATCCCCGGGTCGGAGGGGATGGCTGGCATCTGTGGGCTCCCTGCTTGCTCGAGGAAGTGTTTTACAGCCTTATTTTTTTAAATCCACGTGGCTTTCCTGCCCTGGATGCCCCGTTCCTCGGCCACCTCCCTGAGGTTTGGCTTTTCCAAGGTCTCGCCTACCTAAAACCATCTTTGGGTCCCTCCCAGTGCGGCTGCTCTGGTCCTCACGCCTCTGTCCTGCCTTCATACCGGTTTGCCCAGCCGTGGCTTCACGCGTTGATGCGTGCCTGTCCCCGCAGCCCTGCGGCGTGCAAGGTCCGAATGCAGTCACTGCCTAGTGTGACCCCCGGCTGACGTGAGGAGGAACTGGCAGTTTCTCCCTGTTAAAAGGAATGAGGCTCTTTGGTGGGATGGAGAAGCCTCTTGACCTAGGCACGTGGTGACAATGACCAATTCGATCACAGCTCTCAGGAAAGCCCGGCGGCAGGAGCAGTTGGTCAGCAAGCGGCTTCTGCGGGAGGACACCGCAGCAGAGGAGGCTGGACAGGATGGAGCAGAGAACGTGCCAGACCCTCTCTCGGAGGATGAGGTGAAGAGCATGATGTTCGTGGTGATGGGGGTCCCTGGGGTCTTCCCAGCCTCTAGGCATATGGAGGAGCCTGGTTGGGGTGGGTTTGGGAGTGTCTTCCAAGTCACTGCCAGACTCAGTGAGAAACAGTAAAGTTCTTTATGACCATCTTTGTGCCTGGGTTTCTTTGCCTCTGGGATTAATGGATGAAATCTTAACCCTGGCACTGCTTGAAATTTGCCCATCTTTTAATTTTTTAATAGGTTCTTGAGCTGCTCAGAGGCATGCAGAGGGGTTCAGGAGACAGGAAACGATCACTCGGCCGCCTCCGCTGGGCTCTGCAGAACAAGGAGACTCAGCAGAAGTTTGTCAGGTCAGCCCAGGTCTGGCACGGCATGGCTGTTATCTTGGGTGTGTCCAGAGTGGCCCTTTGTCCCAGTGCTGTGTGGGTGAGCTGGTGTGTGGCCCAGGGTGGGAAGGCAGGAGGTGAGAGCACCCTTTGGGTTCCACCAGGCTGGACGGCAGCATCCGGACACTCATCGGGCTCTTCACCAGCAGCCTGGCTGACATGCAGATGGAGGCAGCCCGCTGTCTCCACGAGCTCTCCCACTCCAGTGACCCTGCTGTGGCTGAGGCATGTCTGCCAGTGACCTCCTATCTCCTCACCTACCTCTCAGGACACAGTGTTGAGTTCACGGTAAGATGTGTGCTTACGTTTGTCAAGGCTCTGGCACCTGATAATCCTTTGGTAGCAGTTGGGTGTTGACCTCTTTTGGCCAGCCTTAGCCTAACGTGGCTCACATAGGAGTGCTGGTGGGAAGGGGCCCTCTGGAGCAGGACTGCCCCCGCTGCTAGCCCAGGGTAGCGAGGCTTTGTCTGGCCAAGTCTTGGAAATACGGAGACCCCCTTCACTGTGCCCCATCCCAACACCAAGAGGAGTTTGGTTCCATCATGTTTGCACCCCCTTCCAGGTAGCTGCAGGCTGCTCTTAAATGCTCCCAAGCCTCATCCGGGCCAGGCAAATCCTCCTGCTGCAGCCCAGGACGCAGTGGTTTGCCCCAGTTGCAAGGGGTTCCTCCTCTTGAGCTCCAAGCACCGTTTGGGGAAGCAGGGACTGCAGGCTGTGGCAGCTGGACTCCATCATCAGCTGTGTGGTCCGGCTTCTGGATGCAGGCTGGGCCTGGACAGGAGGTACCTTGATGTCTGTGTGGTGGGTAAAGCAGAAATACTAGATGCAGGTCAGTTTAGCTGTTTTAAAAGATCTTGGAAAAGTGAAAGAAATGAGCAGCTGCAGGCTGGGATGCAGGGACAGCTACTTTGTCAGCTTACTTTCATGCAATAAGCAGGCAGGCTTTCATCCAGGTCGGGGGGAAGAGCAGAGCGCCTGTGGCTCCAAGCTGTGCAGTTTGATCCAGGCAAAGGAGCGAACAGTTGGAGTCTCTCTGGGATGCCCGTGTGTTTTGCCAGCTGCCGAGCAGTGCGCCTTGTGCAGCCCGCTGTTCTCCTTTGAGAAGCAGACAGGATCAGAGCTAAGGAACAAGATGGGGAGCAACCCCAAGGTGATGATCACATTTTAATGCAGCACATCGCAGTCTCCAGGAGAATAATGTGGAATTAGAGGAGTCTCAGGGAAGTGTCATAGCAATAATTAGAAGCCTGAAAAACCTCCAAAGTAGAAGTGATCAGATCCCAACCTGAGCCAGATAGAAAAAAGATAAATTGAAGCTGATACAGCTGGGAACGGGGTAGGTGGAGAGTCCGGCAGTATCCATCTATGTTTGCCCTTCTGAAGACAGCTTCTGCCCCGTTCAGGGGAACTGTGTGCCCTCATCTCTCGGTGCAGGGACCTAGAGGCCTTGCTGGCTGCCCAGGGTTCCGCTGGGGAGTGCGGAGGAGGTGACCTGCTCTCTCGGCGTGTTTCAGGAGCTGTGTTTGTACACGCTGGGGAACCTGGTAGTAGAAAGTGAAGCTGTGAGGAAGCAACTTCTGCCTCAGGGCATCATTCCAGTGCTGGCATCCTGCATCCAGGTGGGTGAAATAGCTCAGCCACACTCTTCCCCTGCCCTGCCCCAGAAAGACACCTTTTCTTATGCCCTTTAGACGCTGGCTGACAGTACTGAGTTACCAGCCTGCCTTCCAGCTGTGGCCATGGGCAGAGACCCATCTGCAGAGGGCTGTTGCCTTGCGGGTGAGGGTCTCTCATGGGCCCTCCTGCACTCTGTTTTCAGGGCTCAGGTCACCACCTTGTGCTCTTCTCCAGCTGAATCTCTCACATCCGTAACTGTGGCTTGCCGATAAACAGTCTGTAACATGGGGAGCTACAGACTTCTCCCCCCTGCACACTGTGGGTCTAGCAGGCATATGAGGCCAACAGTGACCAGGGCTGTCATTTGCAGATCTCAATGCTCAAAGCAGCACTGCTGCTGTGTTTGGGCTCCTGGATCCCTACAGCTGCAGCCCATGTGAGTGCGGGGAGGGGGGACAGCTCAGCTTTGGTGTGGCCACAGGTTGCTCTGTCATTCCCGGTCCCCTGTTGTGCCCCCTCTTCTCCGGGCATGGAGAGACTGCGCCGCTCAACTGCTTGGTTTGCTGTTACCAAGATGCTGTTACAAATCGCCCTCTCACCAGCATGGGAGCTGGCACCCTGGGATCCCCTGGCTCTGTCATGTGGGATTAGCTTTGTTCTGTTTGATTGCAGTCCCCACATGAGGCTGTGCTGGAAGGTCTGGGCTACGTCCTCTCACAGCTCCTCCAAGCCAAGGAAGCTCCCACAGAGATCATACCGTGAGTCCAAGCCTCTTAACCCTGCATCAGAATGGGCCCTGGGGCCCGTCGTGGTATTTGCATGCCAGGGACAGCAACGCCTTTCCTATCCCAGTGATATTAATAGTTCAGAGCAGAATCCTACCAGAACTATGGAGGTTTTGTTGCAGATCAGGGCACAGGGCTTGACGCTTTTCCCTCAGCCTCATCTGAGCAGACAGCTCTGGCATTTCAGTAAAGGACAGTGTTGCGCCGGGTAGCCTCGCAGGGAAATTCTGGCTGTATTCCTCCCGTGAAGGAAAAGACCAGCTTGACAGCCCCCAGTGCCAAAAATGTGACCCCAGCCAAAGTGTCCTGAGTGCCCCCAGGCCCTGCCATGGACAGGGAGAGCTTGTGCTGGGCCTTAGTTGTGCCTGAGGCTGCAGTCTCTTCCAGGTGTGTTTTTGGAGCATGTGGCCCCACAATGGGGGAGAGCAGCTCCTTGCTTGGTGGCCAGGGCTAGTGTCTCCCTGTCAGTTGTCTGTCCTGCTTGTGCTCTAGCCTGTGCCTCCGTTAACTGTGCTGTTCTGACCCTAGCTTGGTTCTGGACTCTGTTCTCCCCCAGCACATGCTTCAACTGGTTTGCTCTGGCCTCAAGGCTGGGATAGGAGCAGCCGTGGAGTTCGCATGGTGTCTCCACTACATCATTTGTAGGTAAATGTGCTTTTCTCCTCATTTTGAGTTCCCTGGGGGCAGCCAAACAAAGAAGCACAAAGGCTCAGGTCCTGCGAGGGGACCTGGATTGCCTCCCCTTGCCCCTTTCCCTTGGGAAAGCAATTTCCCTGCCATGCT